TGCGATATGATAAGTGATAATAAACAGAATTTAAAAAAATTTTGATAATGTGATAATAAACAGAATTTAAAGAAAGAAAACAAACAATAAGAATATGGCCATAAATTAATAAAATATAAAATTCAGTAATTCATTTATTATTTATTAATGATAGCGTCTATTAAACAAATAATAAGGTATATAAAGAATTTCAGAATTCTTTTTCATATTCATTTTTATGATCATTTTTTATGACAAATATGATAATCATTAATTGCTTTTGAAAATTTGTTAATTTCAATTGAATTTTTTCGAAATGCTACTATGAAAAATGTTTTGGACAATTATCATTAGCATAGCAAATAATCATTCAGCAGTATTTTTAATTTTACCAATCGGTATAAATAATTGATTAGATTCAGATGATCGTAAAATGCTGATAATTTAAATTATTATAACGTGTAAATAATTAACATAATTATAGAATGATAATAAATAATCAATGCAAATAATTGATTAGATACAGATGATCGTAAAATCCAGATAATTTAAGTTATTACAACGTGTAAATAATTAACATAATTACAAGATGATAATAAAATAATTATGAAATGATGAAAATTCGTAATTTGATATACTGATGTAATTTTTATTATGACAATTAAAATATTCGCAGATTGATATATAATTTTTATCATGACAATTAAAATATTCGCAGATTGATATATTGTTGTAATATTTTTGATAAACTAATGTGGCTAAAATAATTGCAAAAGGTTCAGTGTTCAAAATAGACAGAAGATGATATTAATTAAATTAATTATATGATAGCAATTAAAAGATAATAAATGAAACGATAATAATTAGTAAGATAATAAATGATAATAATATAATGTGCAAGATAATAAATGCAGCGAACTGTTGTAAATTCAAAATTGTAATGCAAAAAATATCAGAACTTATTTTACACAAATTTTTGATGCCATTTCTTACTCATCAAAGATCAGCAAATACTTGCCATCCTGATCATTGAAATTTCGATTTTATTTTTCTCTATGAAAACTATAATGAAATGAGTAATAAGTTGTTATAATCAATTTGCCGATATCAATAAATTGAGAAATAAAAAAATATGAATCGCTCTGAAATGCAGAAATTTCTGCTTATATAATATCCTTAAATTCATGATGAAAAAAATGAATAAATAAAATAGGCCTAAAATGTGAGATATAATAAAATATCTCGATGCTGCGGGAAAATTATCACTATTAAATCTTGTTAACACTGATTTGCCTCATCATTCTAGGCCTATTTTTACAACTATAAAAAGTTTGGATTATTTCTCTGGATGTAATTTGATTTATTTACAATTTAACAATAGTGTAGGGGATGCTTAACAATCTATCATAGAATAAAAACATACATGTGATAAGTGTTTGAATTATCATGAACTTTTATCAAATATCATTCAGGAGAAATGGTTTCATCATTTTCGCTGCATTTCGGTAGATTTAATATCATGTTAAATGAAAATATCATTTTTAAAAAAAAAGTATTTTGAGCAAAGTATATTTAATTTATCCAAATAATTAATACATTTAATTTTTTAATATATTTAATCAAAATGTTTGATTTATATTTAATTCTTCCGAATAATCCAAATAATCAAAAACCTGCTGCCTTTTTTGTTTTTAATTTTAATTAGTTATTTAAAGCCTATTTCGCCTGAATGCACGTTTGCAATGCTGTTTATCACACAATTGGAATTGAATTAAAAAAAGGCTATGAAATACGAAAAAGCTTATGAATTTAAAAAAGACCTAAAATAATTTCAAATAATTATTTGAAGCTTATTTCATCCGAATTCACATTTACAATGCTCGTTAAATGCTAACCACACAAATGGAATCGAATTTGAAAATAAAAGCCCATGAAATAAATATTACAGGTACACTATGCAATTACTCTGTTTCTTTTTGTTAAATTACAAATTTAATATTTGCATTTAAATTAATTACAACCAAATTACACTTATCAAATTGCTTAATTTTAGTTTAATGATTTTTAATTTCTTTTAGATTAAATCTTTTATTATCAAAATTAAATGATATGAACGAGATTTCAATTTGTTGCATAGATGAAATGCAAAAATTACAATTCGATATGAAATGGAAAGATTGAAAAAGAATTTTTTGTGAAACATCAAATTATCGAAAATTTTTCTCACATAAAAAATACAATTTGAGAAAATAATTATTCTAATAATAATTTTCCTTCAATTATTCATTTTTATTATATATGCAAAAATTTAGTTAATAAAAATATATTCATTTTGAAATTTTTAAATTTTATTAAAATACTGCAAAATTTAATTATAATTTTGTTATAATAAATATATTAAATTTTCTTCTGAAATATATTTAATACATAAATATATTAAATCTTCTTCAGTATATAAATTATAAATTACAAGTAAACATATTAATAATTTTTATCAAATTTTACAATCAATTTAATTCAATTTCTAATTACAAAATTTAAGTTATTGTTTTAATGTCAAAAATTGGAAGTAATTTATCCGTTTTTAAAATATTACTTTTAATTAAAAGATTTGTTGTCTTACTCGTCAAGATCGTATAAAATAAAATAAAATTTTTGCAACGAATCAAATATTTCAATCAAATTATATATTTCAATCTTATTATCACAAATTATCATTTTGATAATAAATTATTATCAATTAAGTAAAGATAATAATAATGTGCTTACGATTAACAATTTTTGAGTTATGATTAGCTAAATTTAATCATTCTTGTTGGTCTTTTCACTATAGTGCAAAATTTAATGTATAAGTAATTAAAAGATATACTTATTATAGTTGAATTATGATTAATAACAATAATAATAAATAATGGTAATAAATTAATAATGATAAATCCTACTATTAATGGTAGATATTTATATTAATAATAATAATATTAATAATAATATTAATAATAATAATAATAATGAATGCTACTACTTATAATAATATTAATAATAATTAAATAATAATTAATAATAAAAATAGGTGAATATATTAGCAGTAATTCAAAAGGGGTAAAATTTGATAATATTTTTGACATTATTTTGAGAATTATTTTTTCCATCCCTCAAACGAATGATGCTGACAGATGATGATTTGAAATAAAATAATAATTAACAAATGTATACTAAAAATTGGGGCTATTTTTCCAGAAGTAAGATGAGAGGGTGGGAAGAGATTAAAGTTGTTATCGTTGGATATACATATATATATTTACACGCATGAATGTTTCCTTTCTTATCCTTTTACCGATTGTTATTATTTTTACCTGATAATTGGGAGACACCTATAGTCGGTTATTCTTTATTATTTCAGTAATGGCACTAGCTAATTATCATATAATGATGAATACATTAAATATATACCTTTTAAGTAATGAATATAAATTATCAAAATATATGGAAAAATCTTTTGATAAATTTTGGAATATTTTTTTCTAATTATTTAATAATTATTATTTATTTATTATATAGTTTATATTTCTATTTATTTATTATATAGTTCATATTTCTCTTTTTCTGTTCTCATTTTTTAATATTTATTTAAGAAACAAAATTAAATCTGTTAGAATTTATGCAATAATTCACATTTGGCATATTTAATTTGACCTTTGATCTCTCCTAAAAATAACTTTACTTGTCTATTAAGTTTATAATACTGGAAAAGAAATTTGTAACATAATTAAATAATCGAAGAAATGAATAATCGTTAATTCTTCTTTTTCCACTTCGAATAAATCCATCAATTTAGTTTATGTCTAAATTTTTTTTAATGATCAATTCATTTATTCATTTTGATCAATTAATTTACTCATTTCGATTAATTCATTCATTTCCTCTATCAGTTATTCAATATCAATATTATTTTTCAGGTTAATTATTTGACCATTATAATATTATACTTCTAAGCGTTGGCTTAGATTAAAAATTTAGATGTGAGACAATTTTGAAATGAAAATTGTGATTTTTGGAAATTTAAAATTTTCTCAATTAAGCTTATTTTTTCTTTCTACTAAAAATATTTCCCCAAAATTAAATAAAATTATCATTCAAATAAGAATCATATAATTTTGTAGTTTGGCATTTGTTTATTATTTAATTTAATCCAATCTAAATTCAATTCCCAAATAAACTCAAATTTCCTCAATTCAATTTAATTTTTAATAATTAATTTGAAATTGAAAAACTTTTTTAATTTACAAACAATTGCTTTCTTAATTTGACATGTTTCTCTGTAACATCTAACATTTGATAGCTAAGAATAATAATTATTATTCTATTGGCTATGTATAATTTTCATTTAATTCTACTAACTTCCTTTATTCTCTCCTAAAAAATTTTATTTCAAAATTAGAAACCAATTTTTTATTTTTCATCATAGTAGCATAATTTGTTGATCACATTGATGATAGGAATGAATACTTTCAAATTCATTATTGTAATTCTAAAATTTTATATTTTCAACAAGGAAAATGTAAAATGAACAATATTGCTAAAATATGAAAATTTTTGAAATCCTTTTTTCTTTCTCTTAAAAAATAAACTGATTATTTTAGAAACCCCAATGGATTCATAAAATTAACTTCTTCATTTTCAAAAATATCAATTTATCAATTTTGCAATAATACAAAAAAAAAGGAATGATGATGAAGATAATCCTAACATTTGTAAATGCAAATATTTATCATCACAATTTTATCATCATATTTTATCATTAAATATACGATTGCTCTTTTTTTACACAAATCCTCGCATATATTATGATATAAATTAATACTAATGTAAAAACAAAAATGAAATATTTCATATGTACGCAATGTTTCGTAGGCATAACTTACGTGAAATGATAACCTAACGTACGTGAAATTTGGCGCATATCGAAAGGACGATGAATTCCCTATTTTTTCGTCTTTTGAAGCTTCAAAATCTCTCCAAATTTAATCATCGCCACCACCATCATTGCCACTATTACCATTATAATTATCATCATTATTATAGTCACCGCCATCATTATCATCACCATTGCCATCAACATTATCATCATCATCATGATCACCGCCATCATCATTATTATCATTATTACGCAAATTATCCATCTAATACTTTTTTTGAGGGAGCTCAGACAAGAGGAGCCATTTTACTCTCTTTTCCTCTTCAATCATTTGCAGCTGGCGCCAAATTGTCGCTAAGAAATATGAAAAACAAAGAAAAAAAAGAGCCGAAAAATATCCATCAAATATAATTGGGCTATTTTATATAATGATCAAACATTAATAATAAATTGGTCAAAATCGATAACCATTATTAATCATTAATTATAGTAAAGAAAAATAAATGTTAAATAATAAATAATTTTTATTAACAAAAACTTTTCATACTCTTTATCTTATCCTATTTTTAGCACTTCAACTAACACAACCATTCCAATTCATCCATTCCAATTCATCCATTCCATTCATCCATTTCATTGCAAATAATTCTTTTCATTTTGTTTATGCAAATTTAATACTTTTATGTTTACATAATAGTTTATTCCTATTATCCATTCTTCTACTTCCTAAAAATTATTTTTTTCTTTTTCTCTCAAATATTAATTCTGTTAAATTTTTTTATCAATCATATATGATTATTATTTATTTACTAAATTATATTATTGTATTAATTTAATAAATAATAGATATAATTAAAGTATGATATTTTTAATTACTCTAAATAAATTTAAATTCATACAAAATTATATATTTATTTAAATACATTTAAATGATGAATAAGAAATATTTATTTTGAAACTTAATTCCTTTATTTTCTAATTTTTGAAAAATTTAAGAATCACTTATTAAATTTTAATTATATAAGTTTAATTTCAATTCCTATTACATTTGTAAATTATGCATGAAATTCAAGTAATACAATTATTTGATATAGTTAGGTATTTTTTATTCAATGAACAACAATTGAAATTATTAGGACTTACTTATGAAATTTTAATTATATAAGTTTAATTTCAATTCCTATTATATTTGTAAATTATGCCAGAAATTTAAGTAATACTATTATTTGATATATTTAAGTATTTTTTTAATCAATGAACAATAACTGAAATTAATTAAGTCTTAATCATCATTTAATTTAATTGATTTTTTTTTTTTGTTTCCAGCTTAATGTTCACTATATTTACGTTATTATTGTTATTCAATATCTAAAACAGAAAAACTTATTAATATTTTATAGAATATATTAAAGAGGAAGAGAGAAAGAGTGAGAGAGAGAGAGAGAGGGAGAGAGAAAGAGGAACAATTAATAAATAAATTCATAATTTTCCCTACGATTTTTTTTCAAAATAAATAATTAATTTATTATTGTTTTAGAAAAAATTAATTATTCATTTGAAAAAATTTGTTAAAAAAGTTAAAAAAATGGAAAAAAACGGAAACAAACTTTTTTAAATTTACAAAAAATTCGGGAATTGCTAAACACGAATTGATAAATTGATCAGAATTGATAAATTGATAAGCAGGAATTGAATCGAATTGATAAACAATAGTTGATAAACATAGAAATTGATAAATTGATAATTGATGAATTAATTGATAATTTTTCATTTATTTTATTTTTAAAATTTCAATTTCATTTTTCTCACTCCTTTGTTTTTTACTAATTAAGAAGAAGTAATGAGTGAATGATAGATAAGTTTCAATTTTGATAAACTTATCAGTGAATGAAATAGAAAACAATAATTATAGGAATTGATAAATTGATAAACATAGTAATTGATAAATTGATAATTGATAAATTAATTGATTATTTATCATTTATTTTATTTTTAAAATTTCAATTTCATTTTTCTCACTCCTTTGTTTTTTACTAATTAAGAAGAAGTAATAAATGAATGATAGATAAGTTTCAATTTTGATAAACTTATCAATGAATGAAATAGAAAATAATAATTATAGAAATTGATAAATTGATAAATGATAAATTAAATGATAATTTATCGTTTATTTTAATTTTTTAAATTTCAATTTCATTTTTCCTCATTCTTTTGTTTTTTTTTGCTAATTAAAAAAAAAGTAATAAATGGCTGATAGATAAGTTTGAATTTTGATAAACTTATCAATGAATGAAATAGAATAGGAAGGAATTTTTCAATTTTAAGTTTAAATAGAAATTTAAATCCCTGTCGTACAATTATTTATAATCCTCACAATTTCTCTTTCCCTTTGCCTTTTCTTCAAATTTTCATCATCATCATCATCATCATCATCATCATCACTTAACAAGCTGGCAGCTAAAACAAAAAATGAAAATAAAAAATAGAGTAATACTTATTCAGCCTAACAACTCCTTCATTTTATCTTTTCTCTCTTCAATGAAAGTTCATTTAACACTTTCAAATGTTAAAGTTTCCCCTATTTCTTTTCATTCTTTTTCTTTTCACTTTTTTGTTTTCTCATTGTAAGTAAGTGATAACAGATATTTGATAAGATTGATAATTAATTTTTCAATTAATTGAATTCTATTATCTTTTCTCTCTTCGATGAAAGTTCATTTAACACTTTCGAATGTTAAAGCTTCCCTTTTCTTTTCATTCTTTTTTCCACTTTTTTGTTATCTCATTGCAAGTAAGCAATAACACCTATTTGATATTTGATAAGACTGATAATTAATTATTCAATTAATTGAGTTCCACTATCTTCTTTCATATCAATAAAAGTTCATTTAATATTTTCCAAATATTATGCTTCTCTTTTCTTTTCACTTTTTTGTTATCTCATTGTAAGTAAGTGATAACACATATTTGATAAAATTGATAATTGATTAATTAGATTAATTGGATTCCATTATCTTCTTTTATATCAATAAAAGTTCATTTAACACTTCCAAATGTCAGAGCTTCTCTTTTTCTTTCATTTTTCTATTATCTCATTGTAAATAAGTGATAACACGTATTTGATAAGACTAATAATTAATTAATTGAACTCCGTATAATCTTTCAATCTACTATTGTTCTTGTTAAAACAAAAACAAACAAAAAAAAAAGCAATTTATTAACTAAATATTTTATTATTACACTAATTTAAATTCAATGATTGTTTTTAAAAAAATCGATACAACTTTTTGTTTGAGTTAATGATTAATGCATTTCTATGATATTATCTTTTTCTTTCCAATACATGCTGTTTTCCTTTCTTATTTCACCTTTTTATTTTTACCTAAGATCCTTTCATGAATTGATTACCTGTAATTAATGAATAACAATAATTAATTATGCATAGCAATAATATATAATATATTTGAGTTAATGATTAATGCATTTCTATGATATTATCCTTTCCTTTCCAGTACATGATGCGATCTTTTCTTTCTTATTTCATCGTTTTCTTCTGTTAAATTCCTTGCATGAATTGATTATCTGTAATCAATGAGTAACAGTAATTAATTATTTATAACAATAATATATAGTATTTATGATTATAATTATCGTTGTAATAATACATAATAATATAATATTTATATAATTATAATTATAATAATAGAAAATAATATAATATTTATGATTATAATTATAGAAATTATCAATTGAATAAAATAAAATAATTATTCTTATTTTTGCAATAATTTTTCTTTGTTTAAATAATGCGTATTTTTCATCATATTCTCGAGTGACCATTAATGCGTATGGTCAGCGAAATACATTAAAATCTTCGGCTAGCCATTTACTATTCTTCCTTTTTCTTTTGTTGTTTGGTAAAAGATGGGAACTCTTGATAAAAATTGCTCATCAATATAAATTCGTGAGATACGTAGTTATCGTCAACCATTAATTGTTTCTAATAGATTTATGGGATTGTATCAAAATGATCAAATGATAAGATTTTTTTATAGCTGTGAATTTTAATCGTTTCCTAATTCATCATTATCATTATTATAATTATTATCTTTTGAAATGGATCAATAAAAAAAGTAAAAGTAATAATAAATGATTATTATCTTTAATTTTATCCATTTCGAATTATTTTATTCCTCTAAATATAAATATATGATATTTTTAATTTATAATTAATAATTTTATTATTTATAATTAATAGTTTTATTGGATTTCATTTATTATATTTCTTATTTATAACATTTAAAAATTTATTATAAAATTTCTTTAATCTAATAATTTTATTTTTGTTGATTAAATAACAGTTTTTCTCATTTTTTGTTTTGCTTATTTTCATTTTTCAATTTTATTATTAACTATATCATATATATTATTTATTATTTCAATTACTATTAATTGCTTTTTTTTTCACTGTTTTATTCAATGTTATCATTTTCAATATTAATGAACAATTATTAATTGACAAATTTTATCAGCAATAATTAATAATATTTATTTAATATTAGTTAAGTAATTAATGTCATTCATTTAATAATAGCTAAGTAATTAATGATAAGTGTTATCATTTTCAATATTAATCAATAATTATTAATTGATAAATTTTAGCAGCAATAATTAATAATATTTATTTAATTTTAGTCGAATAATTAGCGCTATTCGTCTAATATTAGTTAAGTAATTAATGCTATTCATTTAATATTAGTTAAGTAATTAATTATATTACTTTAGTATTAGTTAATCAAAATATTAAAAAAAGAAGAAACGAAAAGCGAGAAAAAGTATTTGGAATAAATTGAGAACCTGTTTTGTTATTTTACATTTTCACCCAACACATCAAACCCATCACAAACACATCTGCTCCTTCACTTTATCTTCTTATCCTTTTAACAACAATGAATTTTTCAATCAACATATGAAAAAATAAATATATGTGTAGTATTTATAACGGCACA